CCCCAAAACCCCAAAACCCCAAAACCCCTATAACGTCACATTATATTGAAGATTTTATCAATATTAATTTTACATAAAATGCAGACTTTAAAGAATTTACCAAATACCGGCTCAGAAAGAAATAAGAAGGGTGAAAACAGAAAGACGAATAACAACCAGATTAGAAAAGAAATGTCTAATCCTCCAAAATTTGGTAATGTTAGAGCAGGTCAATCAGGTGTAAACTACCCTAAAGTTAATAAGAAATAGTGAAGTGAACCAAAACAAGGAAGCCTTTAATAATCATCCTGCTTTAAATTTTGAGAAATCACCGAAATATCTACATCCTTCTGACCTAAATCAGAAGATGGATCAATATCAGGAGATAAAGAACCTTGTTGATATTAAATCACCAATGCATCCAATGACGGCTCTTTTTCAGAAGGAAGCTAATATGGGGTTAACTCCATTCAACCAAATATCACCAAACCATACCGATCTACAGGAATTTCGTAAAACTATTGCGTTATGTGGAAAGCACTTCGAACAAACCGGATTAAGAAAGTTTGTCGGACAGAATGGATCCGAGTCTGATGAACCAGGACTTCCTCAAGACGTCCCTGAATTTGCACTCAAAGATTTGAACAAAGATTCCATATCAGATGTTCACTCACTTAGTGAGAAGAGAACTCATAAAAACAACCCGAGTGACGTAGACTTCCTTAGCCCTCTTTTACATGGGAATGAGACTCCAGGTTTATTTGAGGATCTAGAATCCGAAAAGGTTTTAGGAGATTTAGTTAATAAAGAACCAAAGAATGAAAACATCCAAACGGCTAAATTCACCAAGAGTAAGTCGAAACTGGCTACCAAGAATAAAAGAGTCAAGATAGGTGAAAACAGTGAGCTCGGATTATGTAACGAAAAGAATAGTTTCCTTGAGGCTATTCTCAAGCCTATGGAAAGCTCCCCTACTCTCTCACAAAGGAAAGACATGGGAAGTTCCAGAAATGGCATAAGCAAACTCAGGACAGTATTCATGAAAAGAGAAAGTAGCCCAAAATGTCAGAATTCTTCAAAGAATTCGAAGAATGAGACACCAAGGGTTCGCAAAAGTTCAAGGCTTGTTAATAAAGAGGCTAATTTGGAGGAATGTAAAGGATGCACTTGTAAGAGGTCAAAGTGTATTAAACTCTATTGAGAATGCTTTCTTTCTCAAAAATTTTGTTCACCATCTTGCACATGAAATGACTGTGAAAATATGCAAGAAAATGAAGAAGAGATCTCTAAAATTCGAAATAAAATACTCTCTAGAAACCCAAAAGCTTTTGAAAAGAAGTTGCAAGTACAAGTGGCTCCTTTGGGATTACAAGAATCGAGTAAGGCTAAATCTCTTCCAGGTTCTAAAAATGTGCGTCATATAAAAGGCTGAACTTGTAAACGATCAAAATGTATAAACAACTACTGTGAGTGCCACCAGCATGGTGCTAGGTGTACTGAGCTATGCTCATGTACGGATTGTCAGAACCCTATAGAATAAGTTATCAGAAGTCTTCCATTATCATCATTTCTCACTTATAATAATTTTCTAATACTTAGCAGTCTTGGGGTTTTGGGGTTTTGGGGTTTTGGGGTTTTGGGG